TGTCATATTTTGTCATACTTGTGACAGTGTGTTTTTACTTGTATAGCGCTGCACACCCCATTTTTATGTCATGAACAATATATGCTCACCTCCAGACTAGACCCTTATGGCTAATCAAGGGTCACATGAGCTTGTGCCCCCTTCACGGGCTGCAGACAGGATTGCTCCAATTCACTCCACCACAGATGGCTCCCACTGTTCCATGGTTCCTCCACTCACATTAGAAGTGTTATTTAATTCATGAAAAAAAAGAATAGAGACTTATAGTGCTCTCCGTACAGTAAAAACATTTATTCAATATTAAAAATTATACTTACAAGTCAGTGCACACACAGTGCTATGTACAGCGCATATCAAACACAGGCAGCTTTCTGTCTCACCACCTCCAATGCTGACATCAAGATGGCCACCAATTGACCCCACTCCACTCCTAACATAGGAGTGGAGTGAGGTCAGTCAGCGGGGTTGTGTGAACTGAGTCCAATGAAAACTATTGCTTTCAGTTTGTTATTGCATTGAGCCTGTGTAGCCTATTGCATGTGGTGTAAATGGGTCTCTAATTTATAGGCTGAGGGTCAGACAGAGTAGAGCTGGTGGGAAGATGCAGCATGCAAACTCTACTCTACTCCACTGTGTGAGTAGAGGCAAAAGGCACACAGGATTCCTCAATGCTACCGTTTAAGGGGCTTTTGAGTATTGTTTCTGAGTGAAGACTGGCTTGACGGTGGTATCCAGGTTTGGTTTTCCCAGATCAGCGTCTGGAGCTTGGAGACTTCAAATAGATTATGGTGCTAGGAGGTCTCCAATCCTACACCCAGATCTTACTGGAGGCCTGCAGTTTGTGTGTGAGTGTGTAGGTGTGCACGTTAAGTGTGGTCTGGCCATAGCTCAGGGCTCCAGTCTGCAGACAGATGTGGGCTCCAGTTAGAGACAGTTATATACTCCATCCAGGAGATATGCATACTGCCAGGAGGAGAGGTGATCCACTTGAGAGACTACACTCCACGTTGGAGAGATTCCTTACCCACAGGACTGGAAGAGTTGGGACAGCTGAGGGAACCTGGAGAACTGGGCGAGCTGAAGCAACTAAATGAGTTCAGGGGACTGAGGGAGTCTGTAAATCTCGGAGGAATGAGAGAGACCCGGGTTCCAGGAGATCCCCTATTGAAAGCCCAGGGTGTGGGCCCATGTAGCTGGCTTCCATAATAAAGGCTGAGTCGGCCAGGAGAGCCCTGAGAGCTGGGAAAGCTGGGTTTGAAGGATCCTGACAAGAGCAGCGGAGCTGCTGAATAAATGGTGCCCTAACATTTTTGTTATCTATTTTGTTTGTAAAATCCCCTGCGTGGGCAACAATTTTTGTGAACTTTAGTTTTGCTTGGTCTAATAAAAGTGGATAGGCACATAACTACAGTTCCAACTGGCATGCACCCTCTGAAATGTATCTACCACTGAACTAAACAACCCCCATATCACATCCTGCAGACAATTCCATTCTTTCCTGGAAGGCTATGGCTCAAGGCTTTGAAACTGTCAGCCAACATTGACAGGGCCTAGATGCAGGGGCATATCTGCCACGAGGCAAACAAGGTGTTTGCCTTGGTTGGCATTTTACAGGGGACGGCACCACCCCCAGAGGGGATAGCATGTGTGTGAGTGGCAGGGCTGCCATCGGTGGGGGGGGGCAGCCAAGCCAACACGCAAGTAGGGCAGAATGGTGGGCAGATCCTTGGTGTGCGCAGTGAGCAGTTGAGGGCCAGGGCCTGCTGTCAGTGTGAGCCGGGCTGTGCAGGCTATGCGAGGTGGGTGAGGCCAGGAGGTGCAAGTGGATAGCCTGTGGAGGGGAAAGAAGAAGAAGAAGAGGACAGGGTGGAGGAGCCCACCCCCCACTCTTTGTTGCAGCTCCCGCCAGAGATCCTGGTGGAGATGGGACACAGGCTCAGCTACCACTCCTGGCACCATCTGGAGGAGCTGCTGCTGGACAGATAAGAGCTTGGAGGACTGGTACTTTCCCACTCCTGTCATATTGCCCCCTGTCACTCTGCCCCTCACCTGTCCTGCTGCTCCCCTGTCTCACTGCCCCACATCACGCTAGCCCCCCACCTATTCTACTGTACCCCCAGTTACACTGCCCCTCTCCTTTCCAGCTACCCCCCCCACCTGTTCTGCTGCTCCCCTTCTGTCCCACTACTTCCCACCTGTCCTGTTGTCCCCCCTCCTGTCCCGGTGCCCCTCTCCTGTCCTGTTGCCCCCACCTGCCACGCTGCTCCCCTCCTGACCCACTGCTCCCTCCTATCCTGCTGCCCCCCCTCCTGTCGCACTGCCCTCCTCATCATGGTGCTCCCCTCCTATCCTGTCCTGAAAGGGTGGGACAAATTTAGATGGGGGGCACCCAATTTTAGTCTTGCCTAGAGCAGCACAAAACCAAAATACATCACTGCCTAGATGTCTAAGTCTTAACTCAATTCCACCAAAAAGACAGGAGTGGATAAATACTTAATATTTTTACAAACTGAGCTACTATTACCACATTTACAAAAATGCTTTAATGTCCTAATGTTTTTAAAACTATGATGTCTAAATAAAATATGCATTTATAGGGACAAATATAAAGTTACATGGTTTATGAATATTTCTTTGCAAGAAAAAGTAATCTACTGTTTGTTCCAGTGCTAAGTAAACAGCTTATATAGCTTTGTAGAATGGGATATTTTTGCCTAATAGTACGGTGAGCTAAGCCTTTCACTACTATTTCTTGAAGAATGTACTGGCAGCATCTTTGGAGTGGAAAGCAGCTGTGACTAACAATGCACTGGAAATATGTGAAAGGCTGCCATTAAATGCAAACCAAGAGCATATCAGCTGCATAAACAGAACAGTATGAAGACACTCTGGATCACAGCAGTTGCTTTGTTTTAGTTTAAATGTTTCCTTGGAATCCTACTCTCAGTTTGAAAACAGTGTTTATCCACTATGGCTTAGCTCTAGAAAAATATTTTTTAATTGCGTGAGGCAAATCACAGTTTCTACAAAGGCATTTATAATGTAAATGCCACGCATGTAGGAATAAATATATTATAAACATTGGGAGAACATTACCAAGCAGTGGAGGTTCCCTGAGGTCTATTTGCCAAGCTTTGCAGACCCACCAGAGGACATTCCCCAGGTTATTTCAGTGGTTTATTTTACAATAATTGACCTGCTGGGGATGAAACAGTAAAATTCTATTAGCATCACAAATGTCATATAAATAGAATAACAAATACACATAGTTACATTTTCTGGAGTGTTTTGCACTGTTCTTACCAGTTAAATAGATCTAAAAAAGAGAAGTATTTTTGCTACATTGAAACTCATTCACAAACTTCCCTGAAATCACAACACAAATGTCTCTTTTCACTGTCGGTATGTAAAAGAGGCACTGATGAGGAAAACATGGACACGTGGGTGGTTTACAACACTGAATTACATGGTTGGAACTGACCTCATCCTCCACTGGAAAGAAGTGTTTGTAACATTTCCAAAAATAAAGCACATAGTGATCTGGAATAAAGCTAACATCCTCGCAATATTTGTATAAAGGACTGTATAAAGGATTTGCATAAAAGCCGAAACAGTTTACATCATTTTCTAGTCATATAGTCATACTATATAACAAAACATGCAAGCTTTGACTGAACATAACCAAAGTTCAGACATGGTCCAAATATTAAAGCTGTTCAAATTTCTTCTTGATAATTTAGGGGGGAGCAAGGTCTTCATGCAAATGTATGAATTGTACAAGGCCAATTGAAAAAATGGACATGGACACTTTTTTATACCAGTAAACGGATTTTCAGGTTGCCAGATAGGGCAGGCTTCATCAGCTTGGTTGTTGAAATCTATACCTCCCATTTATAGATTATATTCATGAACCCAAATAGGTTTTTGAACCAGACCTTCCTTGAGCTTGTACTGAGGTATATTAGTTGTTGAATGAAAGGACATAAACATCCCATTTATCTTGCCATTTAACTGGCCAAAGTTTCCTCATAGCAAAAACTTGCTGATTTTAATTTTTGTGGTGAAAATTCTTTGTGGAAAGACTTTGCAATTTGGTTGCATTGTACCATAAGCAACATTGGAGAAAACGTTGTCTGGAAGATTGCACGCTGGAATAGAAATTGTCCACATACAGTAAAGGTGGTGTCCCTGACAGAATAAGGATGACAAAGTCCCACACTATCCTTCTGTTGCTACCAATATAATTTGGGCATCCAGGGGACTCTAGTCAGGTAGCTCTGATATTGTTTGATGTTAAGTCTGCCTCTGAAATGTATAAAGGACTCATCATTGCAGATATTTTTGTGGAGTATACATTTTTTTATATAGTTATACATCCAGTTCAACCATTAAAAAAAATATATATATACAGTACATACATAATATATATATATAATCCTATACCCAGAGTTGATCCAGAGGAAGGCAAAAAAAAAACCCAGCAAAGCATGATTCAATTTGCTCCTGCTGGGAAAAAAATTCTTCCTGATCCCCCGAGAGGCAATCGGATATTCCCTGGATCAACTTTACCTATAAATGTTAGTATCCAGTTATATTCTATGTATCTAAGAAAAATCCAGGCCCTTTTTCAAGCAATCCACTGAGCTGGTCAGAACAAACTCTTGAGGGAGTCTATTCCACATTCTCACAGCTCTCACTGTGAAGAAACCTTTCCGTGTTTGGAGATTAAGTTTCTTTTTCTCTAGACGTAAAGAGTGCCCCCTTATCCTAGTGATGACCTCACAGTGAATAGCTCTACACCGAGTTCACTATATGAACCACCTGGGGCAGACTGACCATTCAGGCGCTCGGGCACTGCCCGAGGGCCCGGGGTTAGAAGGGGGCCCCATGAGATGCCCCTGGTACCTTTCATAGGCTTTTTTTGGGGTGTGGTTTGAGTGTGGGTGATAACACAGGGGCCCCATGATCCCCTATTGCCTGGGGGCCCCTTGAGTTGTCAGTCCGCCCCTGGTCAACTATAGCTATTAGCAGTGTCTAAAGGCATAAATAATACACTATGACATACAAATGTGCATGATGCCAGAAACACATATAAATATCAAGATATAAAGGTGAAATAAATGTCCTTCGAAAAAAAAAAGTAATTAATATAAACCTCAAAATACCCCAATGTGTCAAAAAGTTATTATAGGTTTCAAACACCAAAAAAAGTCCTCTATACGGCAGAGATGTGCAATGAAAGGAAACTCAGAAAAGCTCCAAATCCCAAAAGAGTATCACACCACCTGTGTGCAACAGGCAAAAGCTTACCAGAGGTATATGACTGCTAATGTATAGTGGTCAAAGCACACTTTAAATGGTATTGGGCTTTTGCAGCCCCACAGCGTTCTTCCACTTCCACCAACAGCTTTGTAACCTCTAATAGATAGCCATGTAATCTTCCAATTGTCAAAGAGACATCTGCTCATAGCAACATCATAGATATGACCTAGATATCATATACGAGGAGAAAAAAGAAATACCATCCACAGTGAAGATCCGTATAAAAACTGAAAGGTTTATTAGACCAATGCACTTACAGCATGTAAAACGCATTTACAATTCGCAGGGAAAGGAACTCCAAATGACAATATCCAAGATGGCCGTGAGTGTCTCATGCATGTGTGGTGTGTCATACATCCCGGCTCTTCATGTGTCACTGAGATGAAGATGTGTATGTTTCCCAGGAAAGCTGTGTAGAGGGGAATGTGTCCATTCCCTCCACTCAGGTCTCAGATTACAATCAGCTTTGTGTTCTGTACTATGAGATGTCAGATCCCTGCACCCTGCCTTCTGGAAGCTGACAAATATGTAGTTTAAAGGGTTCTGGAGCAGACAGGGTTGTAGATATAGAGGTACAGTTTATGCAGGAGGATTTGTTTCATCATTCTTTATCACCTGAGGTTTGTCCTTTCATTGGGCTTATGTAACGGTTTATTACCACTTTATCGCAAACCTGTGGTTTGAGACAATTAAAACCCCCAACCTCCACTATAGAGTAGCATACCTCCCAACTTTCCTTCATTTGAAGAGAATTACTCTTTTGGAACCTAATCACACTGCCCCTTTTAATGCCTATTTATGCTCTGATGTTTTGACCTCTATAAATAATGTACTACTTAACTACCAAAACGTTATAATACACTAAAGCTTTCATCCAAAAAATTTATTTGGTATTTTGAAAGGCCAGTATAAAAGCAAAGTATTGGCAAAAAGCACTTTTAGGTTTAACCAATCATTTTTGATTATTAATGTGGAGATAAACCTGTACATAAATACACTGAAATGACTAGCATCAGGTGATAAACAATCATGAAGCATATCCTCTCACATAAACTGTATGTCTGCAGCTGCAGTCCTCTCTCCTCCAAACCCCTCTAAATTACACTGAGAAGATAGTATTTCTTAGCTTCCAGGAGGCAGAAGAGGGATCTGACTTTACACATTCCACAGCAAAGAGCTGAGTGCAATCTGAGACCTGAGTGGAAGGAATGGCAAAACCAGCCTAAGGCCTGGTTCACACCTATGCGTTTTTGGTGGTTTTTGCAGAAATTCATTTAACATGGTTTCCTATATGTTGCACTAACCCCTTAGGAGTCGCTGAGTTATTTCCAGGCTCCCTGTCGCTCTGGACCCCTCTCTGTAGGTACAAACCCCTGCTGACACCACAGTACTCTTCTGACCAGAGTAAATTATCACCAGAAAATAGACTCACACACAGATTAGAGTGACCTGATATGATGCTTATATTAAACCTGACTGTAAGCTTAGTCAAACAGCATAAAGTGGTATATATGTACGTAATGGCAATTACCACACTTAGCAACTCTAATCAAAGAACACAACACATACAGCAAATTCTCAATCAGTGTTGTCAGGCCTGCTATTCAGAAGTTAACCCAAAACCTCAAACCTGAGGTGTTTCTAGTCCCCAGTGAGCAAGGAAAACTATCAAAGATGGAACTAGCTCACTTTGGGCCCTCAAGGTCTGATGACAAAGATTAAATCTGAAATAGAAAAGAGCTCTGTTAATTAGGGTAATCAATTTCCCTTTAAATGCAGTGAGAAATCTTCTGCATGCTTGTTGGGGCCCAGTTGATGCACTACAAAGATCCAGACCTTTTATGTGGGAAGAGATGGAGGTGGCAGTCCCTCAAAGGAATAATACAAGAAAAGGAAGAAGGAAGGACAAGCACTATCCCTTTAAGTGGCACTTGACTTGGGAGGTGTTCCTTAAATGCACTGAGCAGGTTGCAAATTTTAGACAAAAAGGAAGAAGTTGGCAAAAGCACTTGCTGGCAAAGAGCAACTCATCTCTGGGCTGCTGTAACTAATGGCAATGGTAGATGTTATCACAAAGAGGGTTGGCTGTTGGGTAAGGGAACAATGATGTGGTTTGGCCTGCAGCAGGCATGCACTTTGACTAGCTCTGATAATTGAACTATGCTGCAAATGTGTTCAATAGTAGCAGATGGGGAAACTAGGCTGCAACACGTGTTAACTATATGCAATGTCCAGAACTGTGTGCAGGAAAGTGGCAGATTTGAAAAGAATATCAGTGTTCACTTGTTTGTCTGGTGGATGGGACTCTCTCATCCAAACTGTGGCTTGCAGCAAGTCTTGGTGGTCTCTCTCTCAGCAGATGGGGGCCCCCAGCGGTTCTCCAATCCCCACTGCAGCGCTAGGTCTGGTCATAGCACTCTGAGTCACCTGCTGACAGGATTTCTTTCTCTCTCTAGGATGGCAATACTGGTGGTAAGCGATCTCTCCTCGCTCCTCTCACCCTCTGTGGCCTGGTCCGGTACCTTGGCGGGTGGCACAGCTCTCTCTCCTCACTTCTGCTCTCCAGTTCTCTCCCCTCTCACTTCCGGTTTGCTCTCCCGGGCTTCTGTATATATCAGTCCCTACCCCACGCCAGCTCCTCTGGGAAATGTAGTCCTCTGACACTCCCCTCTCTAACAAAATACTGCGATGCAGCATACAAAGTTCATGAGGCTTTTTCTCATCCCAGAATGTGAGTGCCACTGAGCTGCAGGACACTGACATCCAGTTTTAACATCCTGCAACTAACATTGCAGCAGAGTGTTACATATAGGACACGTTTACATCTAAGCCTTTTTCAGCTGCTGAGTTTTTGGAAAGGGTCAGGGACTTTTTAAAATACTATTTTTTTTGGGTTCAATAGACTGCAATGGAAACGGTGCAGAAAATGCATGTAGTGCATTTTTTATGTGTTTTGTATTTTTTATTCTGCCCAACAACAAAATGGCCAAAAAAGCATAAAAAACACAAAGTGCATCAAAAAATACTTTAAAAATGTAAAAAAAAGGCAAAACACACCGCAAAACGGATCACAAGGAAGGAGAGAGTGGTCAGAATTATTGGAAGTTAGGATGATTACCATGTTTCCCATACTGAGACATACAATGTTTTAAGCTTAGGGTATGTTCAGGGTGCCCTGCATAGTGTGATGGATATGGTGTTTTAAATTCCTAAGAGGTCTTCTGAGAGTTTATTATAAGTTATAGAGACAAAGAGGCATCTTCTCTTTGTATGATTGCTGGCAGCACACATTTTTTTCCATCATTAGTAGAAATCATCTGTTAGCTGAATTGCATATTGTCATAATATGCGTAGCCACGTTAGGACCTGTAAAACAAGAAAATGTTCTGTTTAAAAGATGGGAGCCTAGGAGAGGGGTGTTGCTTTGGGTACAGAGTTTATATGCCTACAGGCTCCAGAGACTGAAATTTGGCCTTGACTTTAATTACCCTATTATATTTTAAGAAATTGGATAGATTAAAATGTTATAGGTGCCAATTTATTTACTTACAGAGGGACTTTTACTGTGTTGCAATGGATTTCAAAGAAAGAAATCAACTGAAAGCAACTTTCTTGGGATCATTCACATCACAACACAACGTATGTAGGGCTGGCCATGCATTGTACAATTTCCTTTAGACTTACCAAAACCATATGTAGTACTACCCCCTTAGGAGTTGTAAAGATTTCGGGTTCCCCTATAGCCCTGTACAGCCAGGCAACACACATTTTCATGCAGACTTGCATCCAGGAGTCAGAGGTCAGTCCTTGAGCTTTATTTTTGTGATTTTATTAGGGGGATTTGAACTGGGATAGGTTTAGGGGCGTACAGGATGCCCAATGGAACCGATAAACTGAGGACAACTTCCTGGAACTATTTACAAGCCTCCACTGCAACACAGTCTCTCTTAGAGAGCTAGCCAGCGTCTCCTAGTGTACCAACCCGGACCCTAGATAGACTCCTCTTCCTCTACCCAGCTGTCTAGAGGCATTCATAAGCAGGTGATCTGGTGCCTGTCCCTTTAAAAGATTAGACATTCCAATAGGTGGCGAATCCGGTTTCCCACAAGAGAGCTCCTTCCCCTATCTGGCCCAGGGAGTGCAGGTCTACTCACTCAGTCCTTCTTCCGTGTGACTGGTGAGTTGGTGGCTGCTACCAGGCCATCTAGTTAAGTCGATCCTTCCCTGCTACACAGGTGGCTCTCTCTCAAGCGTCCAGTGAAGTCCCCAGTTTTCTACCTTCCGAGCTCCACTGCCTGTAGGTGAGCCCATATCTTCATCTGGGCCCCCTCCTAGGCTCCTGCCTTCAGCCTCGCATCTTCTTCTCTGTCTTCCACCTGAACTCTCTCTCCCAGTTGAGCAGGCTCTCTTTCTTTTAAGGGTTGTCTTGGATCCTTGCCAAGCCTCCTGTTGGGGATTGGCCAGGATCCCTTAAAAGTACAAGCCAGCCACTCCTCAGATCCACCCTCTGCTTCTAGACCTTTTTCCAAATTTCTAGAGCAGGGGGAAATTCCAGAGGGGCTGGCCTACAGCGCCTCATAGCTCTGACCAAAGTTTGACCCCTGCTAGTTATCACACCCAGGCTGCTACTCAGCCTTCCTAGCTAACAATAAGGCTCTTAGCTCCCCCTAGCTGACTAAGAGGGTGCT